TCATGAAAACACATGGGAGTAAGCTTTTTTAAATTAATTATTGATTTCCAAAAAAGCATGCAAATTGGAACTTTTTATGTCATTTTCTTATTGTTTATTTAAAAGAGAAATAGAGGCATTTAAAAATTTTATGATATTTTGTATATAATGTTCATCGTAACAAGATTAATCTTTTCAAAATACAAGCATGCTATGCTGTTTTGTATTAAGAATTAATTCTTTATTTGTTGTCACGTTCTTGCTTGTCAAGAAATTCATAATCTTATTAAGGAGTATATTTTAAATATTGGGAGTATTTAGTATTTCTTCATTATAGAATTTTGAAGTTTAATACATAAAAATTATTATAAAAATGATATTTAATGTATAGCTTGAAATTTTCCTACTTGTATATTTTGTAACCCGTTGAAAAACATGAAAATATATCATCTCCTTTTAATAGCTGTTACTTTTTACTTTTGAAAATTGCTTTGAGTTACCTTTTTTCTTTTTTTGCGTCTGACTAATTAGAATAAAAACATTTAATTTTATCATGCATTTTCGGGTTGAGTTATGTGTGTATTCAATTTCTATTCAATCTGAATTTTAGATTGAGAATTAATATTAATAATAATACAGTAGTGAGAATTAACAATAATAATACAGTAGAAATTCCTAGTTTTGTATTTCAGTTTTTCATGTTATATAAATCCATCAGATTTCACAAATTACATACTTAACACTATTGAATATATTTTCATGTTATGTAATAAATTAATAAGAACTATTGAGATCACACATAAAAAAGAAAAATCTATGATCTGATTTCTTTAATTTGAAATGTCTTTAATGAATTAGTGAATAGTTCTCTATATTTCTTTTTGTCTCTGTCATTAATACATTGATTTAGTTTGATTATCATGTTTCAAGATTTAGAAGAGGACACAATAAGTTATTTTTTTAACCAGTAGATTATCAGATTTGTTATGTGCTACATATGATTCTGTGTAATTTTTTTTTAAAAAAAAGTATGAGTATTTCTTTTTTACCAAATTTTCTGGATCTGTCTGAATGTGTATCAGAGACATTAATTTGATGATTTTTTTTCTTATGTACATAATTAGTCAAATTTTTATTTTGTTTTAGATTTGAAATTTTTTTCTTTTTGTGTTGATTGTGCATTCATTAATTTCAAGAATAAATTGTAAAACTTGTTGCTGTCTTGTGTGAAAGATGAGTTTTCTTTGTCATCATTTTATTTAAATTATTTTAAATTTGAAGGGTCTAAATTACCTCAAATATCTTTAATATTGTGACGTCAAATGTTTTTTTTTATAAATATTAAAGTACAACATCATTTTAATTTATCAAAGTTATATGCTTTTAAAGTTTTTAGTTATGTGTGAAAGTGTTAAAAATTTTCAAAATAAGTATGGAGATTGTACTTTTTTTTCTCAGTTTTTCATTTTTTTAAAAGAAAATTAACAGCCACTAAATTTTTAATTCTGTTTGGAACAGTGTCTTCTAAAAATTATTTGTGAATTCTTTTTACATATTTATAAAATACGTAATCAGATTTGAATTTTGTTTAATTTTAAATAATCATCTCATTAATTTTATAATCAAAATTTTAAATATTCTGTTTTTAAAGGCAAAAAAAAAGTTCAAATCATCAGGTATCACAACGTTCTAACCTTAAGAATTTTAATTGAAGAGAGAAAGATTAAATACTTGTGTTACATTATACTTTATTGTATGTGCTATTGAATTTTAATAATTTTGAGTGAATTGTTAACATACTGTTTCCCATATTTTTAATGTACTTGTATTTGACAAATTTGTTAAAATTATGCTCTCTTTTGTGATTTATTTCCCATCTTGTCATTAAAATGTGGTATTTCAACATCTGTGCTTTTCATTAATTTGACATGTACAGTGGTACATTATATACTGTCACAAAGCCTCCAGCTATTTGTATTAATAACCTCACTTATAGTGTGAGTTGTCGTGTTTCTTTGTGGAGTTTTGTTTAGTTGTTTCTATTGGTAGAGCCCCCTTTTGAATGTCTGTTTTACCCAATGCATGTGAGTATGTGTGCCTGAGATACATACTATTCTTCCTTTTGCAGCAGTAATTTTTTTACGAATCAGTTTGAAACATTCGTGCTCGGAACAGTTTTTTTAGTTATTGTTTATTAATTTTTTTAATCTATGTATTATACTTTTTTCTTTTAATTATTTTAAAATACATTCTGTTTCTTAAAGTAATAAAAATTATTTAATTATTTTAATGCATTCAATGTTATTAATATATTACAGTTTTGAGTGGCAATTATGTAAAATTATAATTGTAATTCTGTGATATTTTTTGCATTGTTTACAAATTTCGAAATTAATTTTTAGTTTTATGACTGAGATCTTTTTATGTAATTAACATTTGGGATATAATTTCCCTTATTTTACCATTAAGCGATAGTTTTTTCTAATGGTTTTTACTTCTTGCATTTATTTTGCAATATTTTCTATCATTTCGTATTTGATTACTTTTAAAAATTAAGACAGTAGTGTGAAGTAATATTACATATTACAATTTTTTGTACTCTTCAAAATTTTATTTCCACTTACTCATAATTTTTCAATGAAGGTTCTTATGAAAAGAAATTCAATGCAGTTTTTCTTTCTAAATCTTGGAATTAGACATTATTAATATTTATTAATTCTTTTATATCAAAATGAACTATATTTTTAATAATTTGAATAATTTAATTCTTTACATTGTAATTCATCCTTTTTTCACTAAGGATAATTTTCTGCATTGTGCATTTTATTTATTAATAAACTTTTATTTCCTATATTTGCATGAGTAATGTAAAATATTTTGATAAGAAATTCAATGTTTTTTTTTATAAACTTTATTCCTAACTGAAACAAAAATTATTAGATTTGATTGTTTTTGATTATAACTATCTAGATTTTATTTTTACATTAAAAAATGATGCACAGTTTTAAAATTCTTATTCATGTAGTATGTGAACAAAAAATTTAATTCCATTGAGAACAGTACTTGTATATTTTCAATTTCAGACTGCAGAAAAATTTTTTTGCAGAAAGTTACTTTTTTTCTTTTATTTTTTTTTTCAATTTTTTTTGTCTTTCTGAATGTGAAATACTTGTTACAAACATGTAAAGGGAATTGGTTCAAATATTATTTATGTCATATAATGAAGCCCAGTGGCTGAGTGGTAGTGTATCGTGCTTCCACACCACAGTTCAGGTGTTCAAATCCCAGGCTGGACAAGGTTGACTCAGCCTTTCATCCCTTCAGTAAGTCGATAAATGAGTACCAAGCTTGCTTGGAAATTGAACACTGAGGGTTTTGCATCAGACTGACCACTTGACTGAAACATCTGCACATGCACCCCAGCACCTAAGGTCATGTAAACTGAAATAGGCACAGTAGGCCTTGGCCCTCCCTCATGGGCTGTTGTGCCACTGAGTTCATTATATCTTACAATAGTTGCTTTTTGTGCTATAAAATTAAAATTTGTGTCTGAAGAAATGAAATTCAGTTATTGCTTCCTTAAATACTTAAGATTTTTTTTTTTTTATCTAAAAGTGTATGATGCATAATTACCTAAAATGTATGTTTCAAATTTTTTTTGATACATTTAGTAATAGTAAAAATTATTTTAAACTGATTTGAATTCTGCAGTTGTGTAAACAAGCAATTGAGATAATCCAAGTGTTTATTGTAAAATCGACTTTGAAGCTCTATTAGTTTAAAAATTAATGTAAAAAAATGTTTGAAATAACACAGTATGACCTTTGAGATTTTTTCTGTGAAATGCATAAAAAGCACTTGTGTATTATGTATTTTATTCTAAAAAGTAATATTAACACTTAGCCCAATAGTGAGTGCTTCTTCATGGAAAAAGCTGCTGGATCTATTCCAATAATTTTTCAGAATTATTAACATTCCATTCATATTAAATATTTTTTTGAATATTTATGTAGTAAATGAAATTACTACATAATTTTGTTGAGTATTTAATTTTATATTGTATTAATTCTTAGTAGCTAATGTGTTTTAAGTTAAATTGAATACAGTTGTTTTTATGTAAATTGCTTTTATGTGAAAAAAATTATAAAACTTCTCAATTTAAAGGGTACTAAGAACTCTTTTCATGATTGTAATATAATGTGCAATAATTACAGAAGTGCTCCTGGTGGAAGACTCTGCTGGCTCTCTGTCAACTTTTTTCCAAGATATTTTTCTTCAATGTAATAATAATTGATGAAAACAGATCCTTTTGTTCTGTTTTATGTCTAAAAAAATTCTTTGTTTTTTATGAATTGCCCTTATTAGCATTTTGAATGTAACTCTAAATTGTGTCAAATAAGTATGAAAACTACTGTATAATTATTTAATTCTGTATTCAATTGGTATTGTATATCCTACTAATCTCAGATAATTCTCTTTATGCTTTTAATATTTCATTTCATAATCTTCTATTGACATAAAAATCTTTTTACTCATGAGAGCTGGATAGAAATTGTAATATTCTTTCATTGTTCTGTGTTATTATAATTATTTTTTCCTAATTAAACACATAAAATGTTTTGTAAAAGAAAAATGCTGCTGTGTTAAATTCTGACTTCAGTAAAGGTATAAAAGTTAAGTGATTTTATAAGTATATATTTAATTTTTAAGCTATAGTACACAATTTCTAAGCTAACATTGCAAAAAAGTAATATTGAATCCATTTTTCAATTCCTACTATTAGTTCACAATCTCCCTATTTATATATATTTATCTTGTTCAAGTTTTCAATCAATAAAAGACTTTCTTTTCATCCATTCAAGTTCAAATACATTTTTTAAAAATTTGTAGTGAATGACACTTGATGTTAATACAGTTCTTTTTTCCAAATATTAATTATTGAGTTAAATTTAAGTATAATGAATAAAAAGAATAGTCAATAATAATTCTACAGCATATATAAAAAGGAATTACTCGTTGTGTTCCTGTAGCGCAATGGATAGCGCTTTGGACATCTAATCCAAAGGTCGTGGGTTCGAATTTTACCTGGGAAGGCCTAATTTCTGAGAATGTAATTTATGAATGAATAAATAGTAACAAACAAAAATAATAGTCCAACACCATATATAGAAAGGGAAATCGTGCTTTCTATTTTGCTACTTAATATTTCTGTCGTATGATATACATATTTATATTAATTGTAATTATTTAATAAAAAGTAACTAAAATAAAAATTTTCTTTGTTTACCCAAGTAGGAATTACTTAAATTTTTTTTCTTATGTTACTTGTTCTTTTTTAGATCTTACAGACTTAATATAATACAATATATATTACACAATATTATATATATATATATATATATATATATATATATATATATATATATATATATATATTTAACACAATATCTACTGATACATTCTTTTTCTCAAAGTATAGTAAAATTACCATTTCCTTCAACTTTAAATATTGTTGGTTCTTTACGAAAGTTAACAGTAAATTGGCTTTGCTAAATTAATTACATCAGTAGAGCAGCAATTTTTTCATTGAAAAAAAAAACTATTTCTACTTTCCAAGTTCTGTATTTTAAAATTGGATTATACATTGCATGTTCATGTATTTTCGCTTAAAATTTTAGTTAAGCTTCTCAAATTTCATATCTATTATCTAATATATAATTTTTTTTTAACTTGGAAGTAGTATATAAAATCTGTAAAGAAAAAAAAAAGCATTCTTTAATAACTCATTCGCAGCTGACTTACTCTGTGCACTGGAAGAAAATAAAAGTTCATTGACCTTATTGCTCACAAGACAAATGTTCATCGTTCACAACATTAACGATCTAAAAGAGCTTCTTCGACACTTATACTTCCTGTAAAGTAAAGAAAACTGTGATCGTATTCGCGCATCACAGGAAAATTCGTATAAATGGTTTAAAAAAAAAATAAAAATAAAATAAAAATTTAAAAAAAAATTCGAAATCTGAAATTCCGTTAAGTGGGTTGGAACTGCACAAGTTCAATTCACGTATGGTTCGTAACATCATAAATTGCAAAATTAAACATTGAAAATTTTATGTATTTTTTTAGTACAACAACAATCAGAAGATTTCTGTGTAACATTTACTTGAAAAAGAGTTATAAATTCTATGAAGAACGTTTATCTATGGTTATTGAAATTCTGTCATTAAGCACTTGATGGTTGTATTTCACTGTCTGCTAACACTGTATGTTGCATAATCTTATCCCTATCTGAGCTTCTGTTGATGTTTTAGAAGCTTGATCCCCCCCTTTATGACTGTTATCGTAACATGCATTTAATCATTAAAAAAAAATAATCTTTAATCAAGGTAAGTAAAACAACATGTAATTTTTTTCTTTTTTTGATTTTTTTCATCGCTTAAATTTTTGCAGTCATAAAAGCACTAACTGAATTGAAAAAAATACTTATTTTTATTAACATCTTTTTCGAATGCTCATGAAATTAAAATAATATAATAATTTATACCTTTTATTTCCAATAATTGTTTCTCCTGTTAAAAATATGTAAAAATGTTTGGGGAAAATATTCAAAATTCATGCAAAAATGTGCGTACACTGTCAATCGAATACCGTTTCTCATTCAAATGTCGAATCAAAAAAGTTATTATTCCACTTTATCGCGCGGAATCACATCAATATAATTATACGTAATACAATGTAATCAAACATTAGTATTTAGTTCTTTTCCTAGGCGAGCAATTTGTTTGACTCTATTCCCATTTGTCAAAGTGCATTTCTACTTAGTCTTCTAAACTGGGATTTTTTGCTGTCCCTTCTAGAATTTGGCAAGTCTGTCACTCTTCTGGGGTTGCTTTGATAAGTTTTTGTTGAGTATAACGAAAAAGAAAATTGGATTGCTTCCAACTTTTGATCCTGCTTAAAATCAACACAACTTTGAAAAAGTTTTTATATGTTAGATTTTATACCATATTTGTAAAAATATAGAGCATCGTACTTTGAACCAGATAAAAATGAAAATGTATTGCTTTTGGTCAAACTCACTTTTTCGTACTCTTCCGCTTATATGTTTGTGAATATCTTTAACATTTTTTATATCTAGTTTGACTTCATCTTTAAGACATCTTGGAATACTTTATAATTATGGAACATATTTTGGACAAGCTTACGCGCATCTAACTTAGCCTTTTATGGAGATAGATCGATGATATATGAAGAGCTGAGGTTAGCTCTATTGCCATAAAAATTTCTTTGACACTCTTTGAAAAGGCCATCATATCTACTATACTTGACAACTTCATCAAATCATGCGGCGATTGGACTTGAAGTATGATGAGTGAAACCGGAATGTCTTTTGCAAGCTGTGATGAATGTTGAGTGCTTTATGGAAATTAATTAAATATCTTGTTAAGAGTTCCCGACCTTTTGGTACTTGAGCTATTTTGTTTAATAAATGTCTCATTTGATTGTATGCATCCTTATTAATAAAGTGCAGTTTAGAAGTATGTATAATGTGAATTGGGAAACATGCTTGTTTTTTGTATGCTGTTTCCTTTCAACATTATCGATTCTTCTCCATATTTTCCTTTTATAAAATAATTGCGTGTCTAACAATTGTACCACGACAAACTAATTAGTAAGTCAAGTTGTGTTGCAAGAGTTAATGATCTTGCAAGCATATTTGGTTTAAGGAAGCTTTGAAGAGACTCATTTGCTTGTGTGAAGAGCACTGCTCTAGAAGATTATTTTGGTATAATTAAATTTCATCGTACAGAAAGTTCAAAAATGCTTTTGATCTGTCAAGTGTTCTGCTTAAAAACTAATTAAATGTTAGATTAATTTCCATCCACGCCATTTGAAGATTGAAATATTAGGGTGTTAACTTTGACTTTAAGTGTTTTTGAATAAAAGTGTTTGTTACATTCCTAATGGGAAGTCATTAATATATTTAATTGGAAAATAAACTGCATGAATTTATTTAGTAACGCTGAATGTTAGTATTCAACTTTTTTGTTTATTATGTAACAACAAACTAAAAAAAAAAAATCTCGCTTCTGTCGTACTTTTTGTACAATTATGAACTGTTTATTATTTTCTTAATTGTGTCCAAGTACGGACAAAAATATTTTTTAGATATTTGTTAGAAATAGAATGTGTTTTTCAAAATAACAGCCTATTTTTACATATATATGTGCTATAAAATCTCGTTTTATGCAGTGAATACGTTATACAGAAAAACTCGTTTAAAATAATCGTATAAAAGAAGACTTATCTTGAATAAGCAGCTAATTAAAATTAATGTAAAACCGAAATAAAAAGTTTACAGAAATTGACAAAAATAGATTTCTTGATAAAATCATTCGAAAGTATGAACGAAATTAGCTGTGAAGCTAAAAATATATAAACTTGCATTCAAACTTTATTTTATTATAAAGCAATGTAAACAGTTTTATATTTTGTAAATCATTATCACTCTGTCAGAAATTGATCTGCGCCGTTTGTGAACTTGTTCTAAATCACTTTCATCATCAGAAGCAGTGGCATAACGGAGAATATTAGGACCCCTCCCCCTGCAAAGTCAGATTTTGCCTTAAATATTTTATAAATTGGTTAAATATGTACATGGCGTCAATCAAGCTTTGGGCCCTTCCCCGATGCAGGAGTCGCGGGGGGATGTACGTTATGGCACTGAGAAGAGGTTATGTCTGCAATATATATCTTACCGGTAAAGCCGATTAATTTTCAGAAACTTCATTCACGTTTTGTGTAGCTCTATATTTTGACTATGTAATCAGTGATTCAACTTTGCAACAGTTATTCTTCTAATTTTATATGTAGTTCACGATATCCAGACATACAATTCTGCAGCTCATGTTATTTAAAGTCTCGTTCAGAATTGTGTTCATTAGCAAGAAAATGATTTTCTAATTAACTGCACAGCTAAAAACCTTATCGAATGAATTTCACTGTTATAAGAACTTGCTTTCTTTCGCATCTTTGTCGTCTTCTGGACCTACTACGATATCTTAAGTGCGATTAATAATATTGTCACTAAAGATGTATTCCACAAGTAATTCGTCGAAATCACCATAGCTAGAATTATTAAAACTTTCCCCATTTTTATGTGCCAAAGTAATAATTTGATACTGTAGGTGTTTGAATAGCTGTATTACTTGTAACACATTCTAGTCAAATCTTTTGCCAGCAAGCATTTTAAGCTAGTATTATTATTTCAGTGGAAGGAGATGCAACGTTTTTTTAAAAAAAATATTGCTTTTCTTTGGAGACTGCCTGTATGCGAATTTAGTGAAGAAGGCTATTATCATATACACATTCCACAGTATCGATTATACAGGGATCTTTACCAATACACATATTATCGTTTAAGAAGTTTTCAAATGAAACACAAGCTGCACACACACACAAATGTAAAATCTGTTTAAAAAGAAGGCTAAGAGTATTTTAAAAAACAATTCCATTTTCTGACATTAACTCATTAGCGTTTTAAAGTGCGTCAAATTATTATTGAAGTTTAGCTGAATTTTTTTAGACCTGAATCTAAAATTACTGAAATGCTATACATTAAAAGGGTTGTAATTTTTGAATATTGAAGAAAAATGTGTTAAAAATTTATTTCAAAACTATTCCTGTCGTTACTGCCACTATTCATTACTTAGTTAAACGACAACGATCTAAATTATGAACATTAATCATTATTTTAATTTTTATTTTATAATTCTACCTAAATGTTTTGAAGAGGTTAAATATGATTGGTGTGTAGGAAACATTGAGTAAATATTCAAAAAGGCTTAGTTTTAATCGTCATTGTTGGTTTCTGAGGCACATGTGAAATCCAGTGTTGGTACAGCTTAACCGAAATTGACCTTTGTATCGCGAAAACCGCAAAACGCGAACCATGTTGCAATATTTTTTACTTATATTCCACTGTATGTAATTCTTTTGTATGACTCATCTTTATATCTGTAACATTAATGCATCATAAATTATCCTTCATTAATTTTCTAGGAGGTTTTAATGAAGGATCAATGAGACA